TGTGTCTCCCGTACCCTCCCCGTGTGTCTCCCGTACCCTCCCCGTGTGTCTCCCGTACCCTCCCCGTGTGTCTCCCGTACCCTCCCCGTGTGTCTCCCGTACCCTCCCCGTGTGTCTCCCGTACCCTCCCCGTGTGTCTCCCGTACCCTCCCCGTGTGTCTCCCGTACCCTCCCCGTGTGTCTCCCGTACCCTCCCCGTGTGTCTCCCGTACCCTCCCCGTGTGTCTCCCGTACCCTCCCCGTGTGTCTCCCGTACCCTCCCCGTGTGTCTCCCGTACCCTCCCCGTGTGTCTCCCGTACCCTCCCCGTGTGTCTCCCGTACCCTCCCCGTGTGTCTCCCGTACCCTCCCCGTGTGTCTCCCGTACCCTCCCCGTGTGTCTCCCGTACCCTCCCCGTGTGTCTCCCGTACCCTCCCCGTGTGTCTCCCGTACCCTCCCCGTGTGTCTCCCGTACCCTCCCCGTGTGTCTCCCGTACCCTCCCCGTGTGTCTCCCGTACCCTCCCCGTGTGTCTCCCGTACCCTCCCCGTGTGTCTCCCGTACCCTCCCCGTGTGTCTCCCGTACCCTCCCCGTGTGTCTCCCGTACCCTCCCCGTGTGTCTCCCGTACCCTCCCCGTGTGTCTCCCGTACCCTCCCCGTGTGTCTCCCGTACCCTCCCCGTGTGTCTCCCGTACCCTCCCCGTGTGTCTCCCGTACCCTCCCCGTGTGTCTCCCGTACCCTCCCCGTGTGTCTCCCGTACCCTCCCCGTGTGTCTCCCGTACCCTCCCCGTGTGTCTCCCGTACCCTCCCCGTGTGTCTCCCGTACCCTCCCCGTGTGTCTCCCGTACCCTCCCCGTGTGTCTCCCGTACCCTCCCCGTGTGTCTCCCGTACCCTCCCCGTGTGTCTCCCGTACCCTCCCCGTGTGTCTCCCGTACCCTCCCCGTGTGTCTCCCGTACCCTCCCCGTGTGTCTCCCGTACCCTCCCCGTGTGTCTCCCGTACCCTCCCCGTGTGTCTCCCGTACCCTCCCCGTGTGTCTCCCGTACCCTCCCCGTGTGTCTCCCGTACCCTCCCCGTGTGTCTCCCGTACCCTCCCCGTGTGTCTCCCGTACCCTCCCCGTGTGTCTCCCGTACCCTCCCCGTGTGTCTCCCGTACCCTCCCCGTGTGTCTCCCGTACCCTCCCCGTGTGTCTCCCGTACCCTCCCCGTGTGTCTCCCGTACCCTCCCCGTGTGTCTCCCGTACCCTCCCCGTGTGTCTCCCGTACCCTCCCCGTGTGTCTCCCGTACCCTCCCCGTGTGTCTCCCGTACCCTCCCCGTGTGTCTCCCGTACCCTCCCCGTGTGTCTCCCGTACCCTCCCCGTGTGTCTCCCGTACCCTCCCCGTGTGTCTCCCGTACCCTCCCCGTGTGTCTCCCGTACCCTCCCCGTGTGTCTCCCGTACCCTCCCCGTGTGTCTCCCGTACCCTCCCCGTGTGTCTCCCGTACCCTCCCCGTGTGTCTCCCGTACCCTCCCCGTGTGTCTCCCGTACCCTCCCCGTGTGTCTCCCGTACCCTCCCCGTGTGTCTCCCGTACCCTCCCCGTGTGTCTCCCGTACCCTCCCCGTGTGTCTCCCGTACCCTCCCCGTGTGTCTCCCGTACCCTCCCCGTGTGTCTCCCGTACCCTCCCCGTGTGTCTCCCGTACCCTCCCCGTGTGTCTCCCGTACCCTCCCCGTGTGTCTCCCGTACCCTCCCCGTGTGTCTCCCGTACCCTCCCCGTGTGTCTCCCGTACCCTCCCCGTGTGTCTCCCGTACCCTCCCCGTGTGTCTCCCGTACCCTCCCCGTGTGTCTCCCGTACCCTCCCCGTGTGTCTCCCGTACCCTCCCCGTGTGTCTCCCGTACCCTCCCCGTGTGTCTCCCGTACCCTCCCCGTGTGTCTCCCGTACCCTCCCCGTGTGTCTCCCGTACCCTCCCCGTGTGTCTCCCGTACCCTCCCCGTGTGTCTCCCGTACCCTCCCCGTGTGTCTCCCGTACCCTCCCCGTGTGTCTCCCGTACCCTCCCCGTGTGTCTCCCGTCCCCTCCCTGTGTGTCTCCCGTACACTCCCCGTGTGTCTCCCGTATACTCCCCGTGTGATCCTGACCCTCATTGTTTGATAACATTGTGTTTTTGCCTTTTCCTATCTCCTCCTCCAGCCCTGCAGGTCAGGAATACAGGGATCTCTTCTTTCCCAGCCGGTCTCGTGTTCCCAAATGTTTGCGCAGTGTTTGGGGAACACGGATGGGAAATCAGATCGTTCTCCAGTGACAGAGTCCCGTTATAAATTGCCGCATTAAATCTCCGGTGCGCAGTGATACGGTCGGGTCGTGTATCTCGAGGAATCGACGTTCCGTGAAATGTTATACTCGCCTCCTATGATTGTGCTGACACATTGATCACAGACACAATGATAAATCCCCATCCGCACTGCCCTCCTCTTATTGTAGGGGGGACTGAATGGGAATGTCAGTGTATTAGCTGAGCGTAGTGAGTGTGCACGAGAGAGAGGGGAAGAGAGAGAGGGGAAGAGAGAGAGGGGAAGAGAGAGAGAGAGAGGAAGAGAGAGAGAGAGAGGAAGAGAGAGAGGGGAAGAGAGAGAGAGAGAGAGAGGAAGAGAGAGAGGGGAAGAGAGAGAGAGAGAGGAAGAGAGAGAGGAAGAGAGAGAGAGAGGGGAAGAGAGAGGAAGAGAGAGAGAGAGGAAGAGAGAGAGGGGAAGAGATAGAGAGAGGAAGAGAGAGAGAAGGAGAGAGAGAGAGGAGCAGGAGAGAGAGAGAGGAAGAGAGAGAGAGGAGCAGGAGAGAGAGGGAGAGAGAGGAAGAGCGAGAGAGAGGGAGAGAGAGAGAGAGAGAGAAAAAGAGAGAGAGGGGTAGAGAGAGGGGAAGAGAGAGAGGGAGAGAGAGAGGGGGAGAGAGAGAGTGGAAGAGAGAGAGTGGAAGAGAGAGAGAGGAAGAGAGAGAGGGAGAGAGAGAGGGGAAGAGAGAGAGAGGAAGAGAGAGGGGAAGAGAGAGAGGAGCAGGAGAGAAAGAGAGGAGCAGGAGAGAGAGAGGGAGAGGAGCAGGGGGAGAGAGGAGCAGGAGAGAAAGAGAGAGGAGCAGGGGAGAGAGAGAGGAGCAGGGGAGAGAGAGAGGAGCAGGAGATAGAGAGGAGCAGGGGAGAGAGATAGAAAGGAGAGAGAGAGAGAGAAAGAGAGAGAAGAGCAGGAGAGAGAGATAGAAAGGAGAGAGAGAGAGAGGAGCAGGGGGGAGAGAGAGAGAAGCAGGAGAGAGAGATAGAAAGGAGAGAGAGGAGGGAAAGAAAGAGGGAGAAGTAGAGGGAGAGAGATAGAAAGAATGAAGAGGAGAAATAGACGGCGGGAGAGAAAGAGAATGAGACAGAGAGAAGGGGAGAATGAGAGGGAGAGAAAAAAAGAAAGAAAAAATGACACAAGCCCTGATGAAGGGGGCATAATTTGTACCCCCGAAACATGTTGGCTGTACCAAGGGAAGGAAGAGAGTGAGAGAAAGAACAAATGAAAAAAGGAAGAAAGGTTTCGTTTTCATTTTTTTAATGTGGATCTAAGGAATCCCAAAAGCTTGGAGGGGAGATGAGAGAGAGAGAGAGATAAAAAAGTATAGAGATAAAGGGATATTCAAAGAGTAAAGGGGAAAATGAGAGAGACACCAGAAATCAGGCTGGCAGTGGGAGGGTCTGCATGAGAGCGAACTATCAGTATAGTAAGTGGAGAAAAGAGACACATAATACATATATGAGAGAGAGGGAGAGAAGACAGAGGAGAGAAAGAAGAAAGAAAGAAGGAGAAAAATGAAATAAGGGAGAAAGAGG